GCCTTTTTTTTTTTTTTGGAAATAAAAGCCTATATTCCGCCTACAACAGCATTTGCAAAAATCCCCAGCTGCTTTGAGAAACGTGGTTTTGCTTTACAAGACGCGTCAAAAGCATTCTCGGGAAACGGCGTCGTCCAGAGGCTTCTACAGCAGAGATCACCCTCCACCTGCTTCCCCGCTCCAGCCACAAACCTGAAAGCGGCTGCTTGAGAGCAATACACCCACGGGTGCGTTTTCACAGCATCGGCTCCCGGTTCTGCAAGGAAGCTCCAGATTTGTCACCATTTCGGTTTATACAAGGCTCAAATTGCTGATGGCGGTATTCCTCTGTAAATCTTACAAAAAGTCAATGCCAAATTTGGAACGAAAAACAAAAATCATAACTATGTAACCATAATACTCTTCACAAGAGAAATTCTCAGGCAAATAGAGTTTTACTATTCAAAGTCCTGTATATAAAAAGTTTATTAGCAAGCTCTTTCTACAGAATCTTTCACAAGGCTTTACAAGCCACCTTTTCACGGGAGAAAGGTTATTTCCACATTGCACAGCCAGGCTTCACAAGCGATTAGGACAGATGGCTGCCAGTATTTTAAGTGTAACCGTGTTTTGGATCATTATCCTGCCAAATGATGTATTTCCTTGAGAAACTTACAGTGGTAAGTATGCTCCACGATTGGGACGGGTGGTGGAGAACACTGAGAGAAAAAGGAGAAAGAAAACTTGATAGTATCCCACACTAGTACAGATATAGCTGATGCTTCCTTACACCATAAGTAATTCCCAAAGTTCTGTGTAATTTTTAAAATAGCTCCCTTACCACATCACTTCTCTTCCCTCCAAAACAAACCACCCTCCTTAAACTGTATCACACACCCCTCACTCTGCATTAGCCTTTCAAGAATACAGTGGAGTATAGCAGGTTTTAGTCTAAAAATTCAGAAACATACTAACTCCTTTTCAGGACACTGTTTTATGCTTTAGAAATAAAAAGCTCCTCAACGGCCATCAGTTATTGTGATTTTACAGTTTTCTTTGGGGGGGGGGGGGGAAGAAGGTTTGGTTTTAACTGTAAGCTCCAAAAAATTCTCAATTATTGAACGTAGTTCCTGCTACTAAGGGCAACCGTGTCATTTTCATCCTTTCATCCACTGCTGAATTTTCACTTGTGTCAGTTGTCCCACGTGCCTCTCCAGAGTGCTTCACAGGCTGTTCCAAAGCCTTATGACCTGGCTATTCTGAACCTTCTTCCAGTCCTGAACCATATCAAATTACAATAAAATTAATTTTAATTTAATCACACAAGAATTACTAATGTCATTTTTTAAACCCTCACAGGAAGCGATCCAGCAGAGTTACTTCTTCAGCAAATGTCAGTTGTTGTCCTTCATCCATTGCTCAATCCATTGCATAATCTGATCCAAATTTCTCTCTAGGTCTTCTGGAGTGTTGCTGGGTAGCTGGTGTACAATTTCCTCTCTATATGACAACATAGCTTCCTCATAAAGCGTCTGAAAAATTTCACACTGAATGTTGTCTTGCAGCTTTTTCCCTTTGTAGCCCCTAGAAAACAAGAACAATACCGAGAAACAGTCTTAGATATGCAGAGATCTATAAAGTATTTCACAGAGAAACAGGAATTTACACCCCAGAAAAATCTCCAGTGAAGTCACACGACAGTACTTGACTCCTTATTTACTCCACTGACATACCTGCTTTCAAGTCTGTCATACAGAAATGAATTTTCTGTACGAAGTACAAATACCATATGAAACCACCGTTCAGGAAAAAAATCACAGCCATGATAATCGATAATAACTCCACCTTCGCTCATTTTATCTTCTAGTTCATCAATTACCTACAAAACAAACAATGATAGGCAAGCTTGTCTGAATTTACAGGAAGTCAAAATACAAAAATGCTAGGTTTTGAAGTTGGACTCACCCGGTCTTCATCCAAAATTGGACAATCATATTCCTCATCAAAACCTTCATACAGTTCTCCTGCAGCAAAAATAATTTGTGGAAGCTTGTGAAGTCGCAGCAGTTATTACAATTATTTATGTTGTTATGTTTTTTTCAGGAGGATGCAAACAAAAGATAGTGTTCAGAGCAAGGAACACTTTGTTTATAAATCCATACAAGGGTAAGTTTGTTATTTGTTAATACAGAGTGTGCTACTGTTACATAAATGCTTTTTTAACTTGTACCACCAAATATATTTCTGCCTTTTCATTTAATATATCATACATGTTCTACAAGCACGTTGTTATACAAAGCAAAGACAACTAAAATACTTTGATGGACTACTCTGTTAATACGGCCTACCTTCTTTTGCCATGTCACCCACATTAATGTAGGTCATCCCAGCTCTTGACGCAAGTTCTTTCCCGAGCGTGGTTTTCCCGACGCCCGGAGTACCTGAAGACAAAAACCCCATATAAAAGGGTAAGAGACCAGTATGCAAGTCCTCTTCAATTAACCTTTTAAGCAGTCAAAAAGGAAGCGTTTGTCAGTCAATGCTGGCAAGTTAGTATAAGAAAAAGGGGGCAAAAAGCTGCACGACAAGGAAAAACAAATACAAACAATATCTAGAGAGTAAACAAAACAAAACGAAGAAGAAAACTGTCACCTTGTGCATAAGCGTTATTCTAACCAGAACGATGCAAAAGTAAACCTTGTTTCATTTAAAAGCTCTAACTAATGCGGAAAACTGACAAGTTTTCAAGCAGAGAAGCCCGGCACCCCCTCCGCAGAGGCCTCGCACCCCAAACCACGCCGTGCTGTGAACCGGGCTGGGGCCTCCCCCCGCAG